TTATCTCGTTAATCACAAAAGGGACATTTTCCAAAGTTCGGTTAATGTTTCCTGTGGATTATTGCCGTGTTCGGTGGTCTCAGATTTAGCGCGTTAGCTCTTATGAGGGCTGTCGTGTTCGGTGTTTTGAGAGTTGCCAGTTATATCCTTCAAATTCTTCGGCATTGATTTTAACGCGCATTATTTTTCATATATCATATAAATAAATATAGTATAACATTAAAAGGCAAAGCATGAAAAGAGCGAATCAAAGAAGAATGAGATAAGATTTATCTACAGTCTACAAGTCGAGAAATAACGATAAGACACAAGCACTAAAGAGATTTTAAGACCAACATAAAAATCAGGGCAGACCTGGGCGAGTTCGAACCATTTTTACCCCAGAAGTCGTTCTGGGCAATATACACCATTTGGAAAAAAAACTTCACGTCTTATACGTTATAAATAATCATAAAAAGGCAAACACGTCGGTATTTAAAGAACTATTTAGCCTTTTCTGTCGGTAGATTGAATAATCGAAATATCCTCGCCCTGGAGTCGGTTTAATTCTGACGTTATGAAACACGCAACGTCAGATTTTCTCCAACATTTCACGGTTTGCCCTGGTATCGTGGTCCGAATCTGCCACAAAGTGCTACGATAGGCATTTATATACATCAACATGTGACGCTGTGCTACGATAGGCATTTATATACATCATCATGTGACGCTGTGCTACGATAGGCCTGTATATACATCATCATGTGACGCTGTGCTACGATAGGCCTTTATATACATCAACATGTGACGCTGTGCTACGATAGGCCTGTATATACATCATCATGTGACGCTGTGCTACGATAGGCCTTTATATACATCATCATGTGACGCTGTGCTACGATAGGCCTGTATATACATCATCATGTGACGCTGTGCTACGATAGGCCTGTATATACATCATCATGTGACGCTGTGCTACGATAGGCCTGTATATACATCATCATGTGACGCTGTGCTACGATAGGCCTGTATATACATCATCATGTGACGCTGTGCTACGATAGGCCTGTATATACATCATCATGTGACGCTGTGCTACGATAGGCCTGTATATACATCATCATGTGACGCTGTGCTACGATAGGCCTGTATATACATCATCATGTGACGCTGTGCTACGATAGGCCTGTATATACATCATCATGTGACGCTGTGCTACGATAGGCCTGTATATACATCATCATGTGACGCTGTGCTACGATAGGCCTGTATATACATCATCATGTGACGCTGTGCTACGATAGGCCTGTATATACATCATCATGTGACGCTGTGCTACGATAGGCCTGTATATACATCATCATGTGACGCTGTGCTACGATAGGCCTGTATATACATCATCATGTGACGCTGTGCTACGATAGGCCTGTATATACATCATCATGTGACGCTGTGCTACGATAGGCCTGTATATACATCATCATGTGACGCTGTGCTACGATAGGCCTGTATATACATCATCATGTGACGCTGTGCTACGATAGGCCTGTATATACATCATCATGTGACGCTGTGCTACGATAGGCCTGTATATACATCATCATGTGACGCTGTGCTACGATAGGCCTGTATATACATCATCATGTGACGCTGTGCTACGATAGGCCTGTATATACATCATCATGTGACGCTGTGCTACGATAGGCCTGTATATACATCATCATGTGACGCTGTGCTACGATAGGCCTGTATATACATCATCATGTGACGCTGTGCTACGATAGGCCTGTATATACATCATCATGTGACGCTGTGCTACGATAGGCCTGTATATACATCATCATGTGACGCTGTGCTACGATAGGCCTGTATATACATCATCATGTGACGCTGTGCTACGATAGGCCTGTATATACATCATCATGTGACGCTGTGCTACGATAGGCCTGTATATGCATCATCATGTGACGCTGTGCTACGATAGGCCTGATGTGACGCTGTGCTACGATAGGCCTGTATATAATCATCATGTGACGCTGTGCTACGATAGGCCTGATGTGACGCTGTGCTTCGATAGGCCTGTATATGCATCATCATGTGACGCTGTCGTCGAGACACCAATAAGTAGAAACTCGATTTGCAAAAAGTTTGAGAAACAAGAACATATTTGTTGTAATCTCCCAAAAGTAACTTTTACCCTTTTATAGTAATTTTAAGATTTCCTCAAAATTATTTTACGTGTGAATGTCCCTCCCAGCCAACTGCTAAGATCCCCAAAATGGAAAATATTTGCTCAAGACCAAAAATATTAGAAGTGGCCGGACTTACCCCGGCACAGATGATTGGTATTAACGATATACATTTTGAATCAAATGCACCATTTTATTTTTGTCTGTGTGTAACGTATATGGTGGCTTGGGTTGCGCAATGGATAGCGCGCTCGTCTTCCCCAAAATCGCTGGGGTTCAATCTCCGTCACCTGCCCGAGAACGTGGATTTTCACGGATACTCCGGCTCCTCCCACAACAAGATTTAGACCCTCTACGTACTTCCATCAGGACACAAAAGTAATTATTAATACAAGTTGAAAAAAAAAAAATCTGTTTGATATTTCCCGATAGGAATATTTACCAGGTTGATGTAAAAACAAATTACCAGAAACTATCTATTTTTTACTTTTTGAGCCTGCGGCAAAAACAGATAAAAAAAATCAGTCCTGCTACACATGTATAAAGATTAATATAATCTTCCCCTACTTTGAGGGTATGACAGAGAAATCTCCATCCCAAGGGTGATGTTTTTTGGTTGTCTAACCCGAGGCTCTGCCGATGGTTAGACAACCAAATAAATCACCCGAGGGTTGCAGATTTCTCTGTGACACTCTCAAGGTAGGGGATGATTATTTTTCTCCCATCCTATCATTTTAGTCACAACTTCATCGACAGTGGTCTGCCATGTTTGTAAACAAAAACACATGCGGGGTTGCACATCGTCATTCTTTTTTGACGACGTCACAATTACCGATGACGTATTTTAATGACGTTACAATTGAACACCTGCTAATCGGCACGAGGCTATATCCCCCTAGGGGTTGACAAGCTGATCTTTCCCGACTAAAATGGCAGACACATCTGTAAAGGGTGGAAGAAAACACAACGAACATCAGATCCTAGATTTTCAAGTTATTTTTCATCCTTCCGGAAATAACCGATGAATGACGATTTTAAATATTCGTGACGTCACGGTAAGATACATTCTAAACAGAATGGCTCTCAAAGTGTCATCATGTTTATTCAAAACTCTGATAATATAGAAATATAACAAACATTTTTATATCGAATTGACGTTTACATTGCGTTTCTTTATTTAACCAAGCAATAAATGACAAAGTTGCATCTAACTCTCTCGAGAACACCCCAAAGGAGGAACTTATACTTCGCATTTCGTATCAATTTTTCTCTTAACATAACAGTATTAAAAAAATTGTGAAGGTTGTTTTCAGTAAATGTAGATGTATGTGTATATTGAAACAATTTTGTCTTTAAAATGAGTGTATACTTCCTGTTCCCCATAGGACGGCAACTTCTGGACGATAAAACAAGAAAAAAGGAGCAAAGCTGCTGGACACCAAATTGTTTTATGAAACTCATTTAATTACGGTCCAACACCCCAAGAAACCAGATCCTGCATACTTGAATGTATTCTTCGACTATATTCGTCAATAACGTTGATTTCAAGGCCGTTGAGAATATGCCGTTCACGCTCAATGTCCTTACATGTTCCACTATTGTAACTCAATAATTGTCCCATAGCTCGCAATGTACATTTTAGATGCACATTTAAATGTCAACAATCTGGTAATAATGCCATCTTCTGTGGGAGGGAAGAGACAATGCGTGATTTACATAAAATATCATACATACCTGCTGCGAATTCTACAAATATTTCTTTTGACAATTTACGTTTGGATAAAATATATGCCGTCTTCTTAGTTAAAATGACGTCACGCTAGACAGACAACACCATTTTGAATGGGTTTCTCAATGCCACGTTTGCTGCTTTTATCTGGTAAGATGTCCACAACAGAGATGATATTAGTTCTTCAGTGAATACCATGTGGTGCATGTCTGTAGCAAAGGTGGAACCACACAACAACTTATTCTGCCGTCGCTTCCTTTAAACTTGAAACTGAAAATCTCCGCAGTGAAACGAATGTACCTTTCTTTTTGGACATTACTGCGAGAGATATCATATCATAGTTCGTTTATACTACTAGTATTCATTGCAATAGAAATGTGTTTTTAACAAATGGAGAATTTTTGTTATTTTACCTCCAAATGTAATACATATGGGTTTACTCTCATATGTTTTTATATACATGTAGTTTACGGCCTGACTTTCCCAGAAGGCTGTCAAACATTTTGAAAAACCGAAAGTGGGCAAAGGGTTAATTACAGATTAAACCCCTACGGCGCTTAGCGCCCCTTAAGAATTCGAAAAAAATAAAGGAGTAACTCTTTAAGCATGCATATGCTACTACAAGGGAAGTTACTCTTTACGCGTGTGTTTCTATTAAAGAGCGTCGCCGTCCGAGAGCTACATTCTTATTACAGCTTTTGGCCTACCATTGTTCTTAGAGCTAAGCTGTTTTGCGCACCTGGATTTATTTTAACGAATCTTTTTTTAATTAAAAACAATATGTTTTAAATCTAGATCGTGACTACTAGTTTAGCTTTCCAGGGGAAGAATGTGTATGTGACTTGTGCTTATTCAGTACCACGTCTGAGCCATTCCCCAATCCCTATTCCATGTCTGCTTAGTATGTTATCAGGGCCCCCATATGTCGCGTTTAACAGTGCTCTCAGTGACAAATACTGTGTGAAGGACTCACGTGACAGAACAGTCTCGTTCACACCAACTCTGTTAGAATTGGACAATAAATGCAAATCACAGGGTAAACGATTTTCTGTATGATGTGCAGCGCTTGCTTTTCGTGGCATTACATAACATGGAAGTATTACCTCCATCCGACATGATGATTCTTTCGTTGCTTAGCAATCCTTCAAACTGGTTCTGTACCTCCGCCAGATATCATGTAGGTTTATATACGGACAATGCACGAGTTTGATTTCCAATAATAAGTACAATTGTAGTAAGGCGTTAGACAAGTAAAGCTAAGAGACAGTGCACTGTAAGCATTACTGATACTATCTGCTAGCATTTTCATTTAAATAAAGATAACTAGGATATGTTATTGATAGAAAGCCCACATTATCCGAGATACTACTGAATCGGAGGAATTCAACGAATGCCGACAATGTTACATGTCTATTACACAATTGAAGTTGTTCTGTATTATCTTAGTTTTCTTACATTTTAATTTATTTTGCAGTCAGCACTGCAATAAAACTTCTTCTGTATTTAATCAGTACTCGATTAACACTCAAATACCACAACCTTCACCAGCATACGTATATCTTTATTTCGGTTTTCTGCAGATCCACCAAATCCTCGCGACGTCAGTCTTTTCTATCACTTCATAATACTTGTACACTCTGGACCAATACATTAACACCTATAAGTGTCAACGCTGACGTTTCAACAGTTGTGCTGCATATCGAACAATGCTATATCAAACAACACGTGTGTATGCCCGCCTTGATACGTGTACTTCATTATAATACTTTTTTATGACGTGATTCCTTTGGTATAAATATGTATACTAAGGATTATATCACATAACCTGTCTATTGTAATCATTTCTCTAATATGTGGGCTAGTCTTTTTCTATACATTTTCTTCACGTTGGTAAGTATGGATTATGAAAAGTTCTTTTTACACAACCAATACAATTTTGTATGTGACGTTTCGATGACTAGTACGATATGTACACTGTTATTTTCATCAGACAAATGACCAGTGAAGCGTATACATACAGAGGTGTGAAATGTGTACGAGTTGTCCACAAAATCGATGTCGATTTCGGCTACGCTGTAAGCGTATGTACAATAGTTGTTATATATGTACCAAAATGACTCGATTCAGCTACGCGTTGTTTAATACTTGGTCATAGTTGTGCGAGAGACTTTGAGCCCCCTCGTTTCGATTTAAATCTGGCCCACTAAGGCGTATCCAGATGGCTTCCTTTATCTGCCGCTTGAACAGATTGCTCTCTCTGTCTAAAACTTCGGAGTTATTCCATTTAATTACATGATTTTTTCTGTGTGGCATAGACTGTGATTGTCGATTTATTTATTGGACTCCGACTGCTTCCTTTCTGATCTGGTGAATTTCCTACCTTCTCGGGTTTCTGTTTCTTTCCGGTTGTCACCAAGCAGACCCAATGCCTCAGTTGTAGAGTCGTGTTTATATGATATAGACTTCAGTTATATGGTCGTGTTTATATGATGTAGACCTCAGTTGTATGGTCGTGTTTATATGATGTAAACCTCAGTTGTATGGTCGTGTTTATATGATGTAGACTTCAGTTGTATGGTCGTGTTTATATGATGTAGACTTCAGTTGTATGGTCGTGTTTATATGATAAAGACTTCAGTTGTATGGTCGTGTTTATATGATGTAGACCTCAGTTATATGGTCGTGTTTATATGATGTAGACTTCAGTTGTATGGTCGTGTTTATATGATTTTGACCTCAGTTATATGGTCGTGTTTATATGATGTAGACTTTAGTTGTATGGTCGTGTTTATATGATATAGACTTCAGTTGTATGGTCGTGTTTATATGATATAGACTTCAGTTGTATGGTCGTGTTTATATGATAAAGACTACAGTTGTATGGTCGTGTTTATATGATGTAGACCTCAGTTGTATTGTCGTGTTTATATGATTAAGACTTCAGTTGTATTGTCGTGTTTATATGATGTATAACTCAGTTATATGGTCGTGTTTATATGATGTAGCCCTCAGTTGTATGGTCGTGTTTATATGATGTAGACCTCAGTTGTATTGTCGTGTTTATATGATTAAGACTTCAGTTGTATTGTCGTGTTTATATGATGTATAATTCAGTTATATGGTCGTGTTTATATGATGTAGACCTCATTTGTATGGTCGTGTTTATATGATGTAGACCTCAGTTGTATGGTCGTGTTTATATGATGTAGACCTCAGTTGTATGGTCGTGTTTATATGATGTAGACCTCAGTTGTATGGTCGTGTTTATATGATGTAGACCTCAGTTGTATGGTCGTGTTTATATGATGTAGACCTCAGTTGTATGGTCGTGTTTATATGATGTAGACCTCAGTTGTATGGTCGTGTTTATATGATGTAGACCTCAGTTGTATGGTCGTGTTTATATGATGTAGACCTCAGTTGTATGGTCGTGTTTATATGATGTAGACCTCAGTTGTATGGTCGTGTTTATATGATGTAGACCTCAGTTGTATGGTCGTGTTTATATGATGTTGACTTTAATTGTATCAGAACCGATAAAGCTGCTGTTACAATATTACTACTACTATACAGCATTTGATATAGCGCCTTATCTAGCTAACATAAGCCACTCTAAAGCGCTTTACAGTACATAGATATACAATTTTAATACAGTCAATACAATTAGCCTATATATTAATCAATACAATATTGAGGATTTCGCAGGAGCTGCCTTATCAGGCGCTAACTACTAGTCCTATGCCACCTGGCTAATATCTCCCTATGAGTGTATGCCTGTGTGTGTGCTTGAGACGTATTGTGTTCTCTTTGTAGTGGGACCTTGCTTCCAACGGTATCATTTATAGGTGAATTACGGTGAAAAGATTATTCTGGCTGATGTCAGTTACGTTTTTATGGGGTGTAGCGTTGATTATCATTTGCATGGTTTCTAAAATCAAACATCATTTCAAAACGGTATTCATGTTGCAGTGTTGCTCACAAACTCATTTAAAAACGCAAATTGAAAAGAACATCGTCAACCTCAAGCTACAAGTGTTGGCTCTGAATCAGCGAGATATATCGATTCCCCTTAATGAGTCAACACGGAATTTTTCACTTTCATGGAAATGAAACTGAAAAGATTTCGTAATATAATTATAACAAGCTATTTGTTTGTATGAAACATGAGGGAAAGGTTCGCCTATTCCATTATATAACGTTAATAATGTAACCTAGTTCATCAATCAAAGGAAGCCGGCATGACTCCAACGAGAAGCGAACATAACGTTGTGGCCGTTCTGTCTATACTCTACCAGGTAATAGTCCAAACCATACAAAGCAGTCGAAAGCAAACTTTGTATTTTAAACTTTTATTCAAGGAAGAAAACAAAAGTATTTAAAAAGTTTACAGTCTAATATATAAACTATTGTCGGATATGTATGCTGTGGCATGTTCAGGATGAAAGCTGAGCTTTAGTTAACTTTGACACCTATATTTATTATTGAAATTTACATATTTAAATCAATAAAATATGTTTTTTCTTTCACATTATTTCCTATGTATACCAATGTCATATTCAATGTTTACGAATATATGAATGTTGCATTCGATTATCGAAAGATGCACGCATACATGACGCAAGGCCGATTACACATCTAAGATATAACAAATATTAGTCCTTCATTCAGACATTACTTGTACCGTTAGTATACAAAAATGACACTAAATTTCACTAGCCATAACTAAATGTGGTGCATAGGAAGTAAACAGTAAAGTTATAGTTTAAACTGTCTGGAAAAATATGTTCTGGTTTTGAAACAAAAAACAAACATGTTACAACGCACGTGACAATAACTTGACTGTTGTCCGGGACCAAATCTATTACTTTATTTGCTAATATAAGTATGAAGTACATGCATATCTGCTATAAGTTAACAAGGATGTCAATACTGAAGACTAGAATCCCCTTTTGTGATCCTCCCGCCACTTGATTAACTGATCCACGTTGTGGTATCATTGGTAATATTATGATATTTTACAACAATAAATTCCAAATAATATAAAAAAAAAAGTATTGGATTGTTATAGATAAATAAAGATCGAATGAACAGATCGAAGTAATTTAAGTCTCCAAAATCAAAAACACTTCAAACGTTCACACTCTACATCAAAACCATCATGGAATTTATAAAGCATTTCATATAGATAGATAGAAAGACGAAGTAATTTATAAAGCATTTCATATAGATAGATAGAAAGACAAAGTAATTTATATATCATACTGCGACATTATTTAATGTTCTATAAAACCCCCCGTTTTTTTTCTGTTATGGCACATCTTGATAATGATAGCACGTCAAAGTCTAATATTACATGTTTTATTTCATGATAGAAGCTTTTAGATGCTGCTGAATTTACCTGAAATATTGGCATACCTTGTACAGCTTCCTGTGTAAAACAGGCCTATGGACTGTTAGGAGGGATATCGAATGATAACAACCGTTCCCTCGTCTTAAATATGTATGACATCGGCATCAGATGTCATGGACAAAATAGATAGAAGAGATCAGAAAAGATGTGCATTGCCGCTATGAACCCTATCAATATGGCGGATCGGATGATGTGATATTATATATGCAGGCGATGTAGTAAACACATTCTGTATTGTTTTTCTGTATGCCCCTTGCCTAACCGGGTTTATAGGATAGTGCCGTGACTTTCAGATCATCTTTGTGATTGTGTCTTATTGAAGAGAATAATTTCGCAATAGAACGAAGAAAAGACATCGCACGCATGACATTTGGGCTTCTTATTCAACGTTCAAATTCTATTGGGGATGGATAGTGATCACGCTTTGATAAAGTTTCAGAACAATGGGCTTTGCAAAAGAGTGGATATCGTCCTGTGGTCCGTCAATCGTTGCGCTGGTAGTTGCCGTTAGTGGCGTTATTCTTTTATTCTGCTATTGTGTAGAGCCAGAACTCCCGCGATGAATTTACTTTAACATAGTTTACTAACCCAATTCTGCTATTGTGTAGAGCCAGAACGCCTGCGATGAATTTACTTTAACATAGTTTACTAACCCAATTCTGCTGGCAATACGTTGGAACTGCGGTAAGGTTTGGACCAGACAAGAGGGATCGCTTGCTTTATACTGTATCATTATAGTCGACCACTGTAATGAGTTGCCTACTTACGTCTAAGACCACCTACAGGACACTGGAGAAAACATGATTGTTCTTAGTTCCCTTGAAATATTCAGAGCTTTTCTCTTTTACTTACGGGTGTGTTTCTCTTTTGCGTTGTTAAACACGAAACCGTATTCAATTTATGAATTTTACCCGGAACCTTAAAGACAGATACAGATACCGCTATATGGCGCGTTCTGAGGACTATATATCTACTATTTTGGTTTATATATCGAATTCAAAAACAGCACGTAGACCTACATGTATATACAGCGATAACCAGTCGGTAAAATATTGAACAAAAGAAATGTTGAATACAAAATCTAATACAAACTTTAGGAATATTTAGTATAAAAGTACAGTGAAAACAATCATACAACGTTTTGCAATACTTTCTTCAATTGTGTTGGAGGTTTATGGTACAAATAATTCTAAATAGTATATAGGTACATTATCAAACATTCAGTGTATACGTTAAGTGACGTAAAAAGATAGCTGACTCCGGGTTCATGATTCGACATATAGGTGGAATTAAACTACAAAATGTACATCGTTGTTGTAATGAAAACCAGAATATGTGAACTAACCAATAAAACAAAACAAAATATATTGATATGATAAATAGAGAATAATACATGCCTTTTTCCATATCACACCCAGTATCAACCCGAGACTGCAATATCAGCCCAAGGGCCGAAGGCGGGCTGATACGGGTTTTGGGGTGTGATCCGGCGGGGGCTGATACGGGTTTTGGGGGGTTATACGGCGGGGGCTGATATGGGTTAGAGCAAGTGTGTCGCATCGCATATACAAAATCCCCGTATTTATTAGTAAGTATGTAATAAACCAAAATAAGTCACTACGATATGGTGACCATGAAACAAAAAGCAATGATATGATAATGCGATCGATATTTAATTCGTAAATCTTATTCAATCGAACATAATTGTGTGTATAAATGGCAAAATTCTTCTTGGCAAAATTAACTTTAATGTGCTTTAACTTTAATAATTAAAAAAATCAATGAAACCGGGAGATTAACCTTATTTGTATAAGGTTAATCTTCCGGTTTCATTTTGTTTTAAATAAGTCTTATTGCAATGGCAACCATAACACAAAAGGGTCTTCCAAACTGTCCCCATAGTCGCATACAGGCGTAGCATGCATCATACGATATTATATTTATCTGTTTATCTTATTACATAATTTTATGACCCGTCATTACTTTGAGTCATTTAACGCCAACAAAGAATAGTGTAAGACATAGAGAAATAGAGACGCAACAAACGCGACAAGGGGATTTAATTAGGTTTATATTGTCAACTCTTTCACAATAGAAGCATATTGTCGACACAAATACAATCACTAGAAATATATATTAATTTCTGTTCAAGTTTGACTAAAATACAACTACCAAATTTTACCACTTTCATTTGCCGATGAAATTGACCAGATTCATGCCTGTGCGTATGAATACATATTTCGGATTTTGCGAAAGAAGTTAACTATTGACATCTTTAAAAATAAAAGATACCACTTATTGTGAGATTTTTTTTATTTTCAAGCATCAAAAACAATCAATCAGTAAAGTGTTATCAATTGTTACTAGCGGTAGTGACAAGTCATGTACTGCCCTAGAAATTCTCCATCCAGCTACCCATTCTGCCTCTTGTGTCGGTATCAACCCCCGGTACAAATCAACGTGGATCACACATGCATGTGGTCCCGTCATACATGTATATGAAATGCAGTCGAACATTTCACTACCATATCGAATTGTTTCGTCCTTTCAAGCCACTTCTGGTTTCCTGTCAAGTTCGACGTTCACTTACTGCAGCTTCACATTCCAGAAAATGTAGAACCTCGAAATTTAGCCGCTCTCCATTTCGAGCTAGTAAAAAGATGGCAGCATCAGACTCGCAGCTGATGTTGTTGTATCCCTTACTTTTTATCATTCCTACCATTGATATATATTGATACTAAATGGTTCTATACTTTTAACTATTTCATTCAACAGCAGCAGGGTATGAACAGGGGGCATTGATGACTTGCAATTTTTTTTTTACAATTGTAGCAATTTCTCTGTTTAATATATCATTAGTGCATTGCTTTCCTATTATTAATTAATTTTGATTGACCTTTTAATAAGAGCATTGTATAGCTAAAAATATCAATTAAATATTTACATGTAATTGAAACAGACGTGGAATTATCTCCCCTATACCATCTGCTATATGTAGACTGGGGATCTATGCTACTTATATGTAATTTGCATCAATATTTTCTTACTAACCGTTTCATTCATCTTTGTCTTTGTCATGTCAACCTAAGGAGAGAACTTATATAGGCCTAGCCTGCTGTTCAATCCTATTGTTTACTCATTAAAATATGTTCAAATGAAATAAGCGAAAATTCTATCTCTCGGTCTGAAGCATTCCAACAGTCTTAATTATTAGTGTTGCCATACAGTTCAAATTGTAGATTTACTATCAAAATGTACCTACATTCTGTACGTGGAAATGTCTAATGCATGAATGTTTATTCGGCAATGCCAAGCATCCAGTTTTAGTCGGGTAAACTATAACAAATATATGTCACATTACAATGAATTAATGGATTTCAAATATTGATAAACCTTTCATTTTTTTAATACTTCTTGTGAAGAATATGTCTTGCTATTTAGACTTGGTAGAGGTATGCCATTTAGATTTGGTAGAGGTATGCTATTTAGACTTGGTAGAGGTATACTATTTAGACTTGGTAGATGTATGCTATTTAGACTTGGTAGATGTATGCTATTTAGACTTGGTAGAGGTATGCTATTTAGACTTGGTAGAGGTATGCTATTTAGACTTGGTAGAGGTATACTATTTAGACTTGGTAGATGTATGCTATTTAGACTTGGTAGAGGGATGCCATTTGGACTTGGTAGAGGTATGCCATTTGGGCTTGGTAGAGGTATGCTATTTAGACTTGGTAGAGGTATGCTATTTAAGATTTGACGTTTTGATTTTTTGGGTTTGACCTTATAAAGGTATTACCAAACTTTTCGTTAATCTCTATGATTAGCGGTTTTACTATATATCATGACTTTGACTGATTCAAAAAATGTATAGCTGATTCTTTA